CCAGAAAATAAGGTTATGTTGTACACAGGCACAAACACTGTAAATAAACATATTTACATAACATAAACACATAAGCATAAATATTTGCTATTCCTCATAGCAAACGATTCAATTTAATGAGTGAATTTTTTAATTTTTAATTTTTTTTTAATTTGACTTACTATTTTTATGAGGCAGCCTCTGTAGTAAGTCACATTAATTTTTTTTATAGTAACATTAACTTCCCTCCCTACAAACAGGGCTTGTTTAGTTAATAAATGCCTCGGATTTCTACAAAATATTCGGGGTAGGCTATTATTACAGTGACTTTTTTATTTCTATTACAGAACTTCAGTCAGTTTAAATTTTGAAATGAATTAATATTTGTAAAATGTTGTAATTTGTGCCGGAGTAAATGTTTTATAGTTAATGTCATTTATGAAAGAAACTTACATAAACCCCATTAATTTCTATGCTTAATTATTTAAAAAAGAACCCCACATATTTTTTATGAGTTAGTTTACTGTATAAATCAATTAGTATTTAATAAAGTCATATAACCCTCTTGTTTATCAAAGTGTAGAAAAGGGATTCCAGCTGAAGTACTGAATGGCATCAGACAGAAAATGATCTTTGCAGTTTAGCCAGTGCTTGCTAAGTTATACATGCACCAATTCATGGCTTTTTTCTGTACATGCTGAATTGAGTGCCTGCGCCGTCCGCTGAACATCTGTGTATTGAGACAACCTGTAACATGCAACAGGTGAAATATTTCTAATCAAAATCTTTTGGGCATTTCCCTCTTGTGATCTGTTATTTGCCCTTCTACAGTTTTTTTTTTATCCCTTTTTTCCCAAATTACTGAACATGACCCTGTTTTAAAATAATTAGAAATAATTGGGAGATTTTTCTTTAGGTTGCCTAAGTTCTCTCTGTATAGGGTATAAAAAATAGTGCTGATTTTTGGCTCAAGACAGTTTGTTTTCACACAGTGACTGGGAAAACCTGAGAAAAAACAGTATTTTCTGGTTCTCTGGACACCATGGAAAAAATATTCCCCCAGAATATCAGGAGACTTTCAATAATATTTGTCTTGGCCTCTTTACAGAAGCAGTGCTTGCTGTGGCATGGAGAACAGAGAACCTAAGTGAAATAAATCCTCTGATTCATACTTGTCAGCAAAGCTGTGGGGAGACATTTTGGAGCTCAAAGTGCCCTTGAATCCCTTGCTACCGTCATACTCTACTCAACTTGAAGCCAAAGGGTTAGAGTGTATCATAGCTTGAATGTAAGGCTTTGGACATACCTTCCTTTCTTACCCCCTTTCAGAGCTCTTCTGAAACCCAGTGTTGCCACACCCTGTCTGTGGTCAATTCTCAGGTGGTACAAGACACGAGAAAGTCGGAGCTAGCTCATACAAGAGGGGCATGTTTAATCTACAGTATTGTATGAACTGTCTGGAGTAGTCGTAAGTGTTCCCTCTAATGGAAGTGCTGGGAATTTTCAGTGAGATACACCACTTATTTCTGCTGCGGTAGAGATTGCAGTATAAGCCCGTAACAATACAGAATGAAGACTTGCAAAAATATTCCTTCGTGTAATTTATAGCGTTTTCTAAAATGCCTTCTTGTTTTTTCCTCCCTTAGAGACGTGTGTAGAAACTGACTAACAGGGATGTGAAATATTGCATCAATAAGATTTTTCCATCCTTGTTTTTTTTTCCTAAACCAAAAAAACATTCCTGAAATAGTAGCTATAAAATATGAGGCAGAGTTACCCAAACGAGCACATTTCCTTGGGAGTAATTCAGGGCGCTGATAACAGTGATTAATGTGGCCTGCAAACTCCTGCTGACAAGATCATGACACAGAATCTCATGAACAAGGAGTGTGTTGGCCTTTCACTCAGCTGCCCTCCTCCAGATACTTGTAGCTGCACATGCATAAAGTGTAAATACTTCTGGCTGAAGTAGGGTAGCAACACTGACAATGTTTGCATTTTAAGCTATTTTCTTAATGCTCCATTTAGTCAAGTTAATTTAAATGAAAATTATTTTGCAATTTTTGTATTTCTTTTCAGTTTTCGTAACAAAAGACTAGAGTGGGTGTCCTATCCTTGCCATTTTCTTTGGAATTTTTTATTTGTTCAAGTGTTACAATTTCAGTTAGTGTAATTTTTTTCTTCACCTGTTTTAGCACATTTCAGGCCTAAGTGTTTTTCTTTCTTCCCCAACTGTTAACGATACATTTATTTTGGACATTTGCTTTCCATCCTCTTACATTTGTGAAGAGGTAAATAATTAATTTCCCTTTTGTTGTAATTTTTCTATTTTCCTTAAATAATATTTTCACTCTGTGAAAGGACAGGAATGCTGTTAGAGTGAAACACTAACTGAAAGCCCTGTTAGAGTGCTTTCTGTGCAAGACAATGAGCAGCAGTATCCGTGAGAGATGCTGCAATGTTGTGCAGGGTTCTTTTCAACTAATTTCTTTTTATTTATGACCAACTTCTTGAGCAAGCACCTATTAGAAAGTACTTGGAGGAAATTCCATGGAGATTTCAGTTTTTGCTTATTGAAATCCCCCTGCTACTACCTTTTTTGGCACTCTCTTTTAAATGGGAAATACAGTTCCTTACTGAAACTTACAGTCTTCTTCCCTCTCTCTTGCCCCCTCCTGGTTTCATGATTAAGTTTTTTTGAAAATACTGTATGTCTGTCTCCTTGGGTCGTTCAGCATAGCCCTGAGGTTTAGATACTCTTCTAAGAAGAGGTGCTTTAAAATTGAGAATCCTCAGCTGTTGAGTAGATTCGGCCTCCAGGGCCAACACTTGTTCATCTCCCTTGTACTTCTTCTTGTGCCCTGCTGGAGTGAAACCCGATGAGAATTGCCTCTACACCAAAAACCTTTTACCTCTAGAGGCTAAACAATCTCCATTTTGGTCGAAAGACTTGAGGACCCTGAAGGCAAAAGTGTTATTACAAGTCTAAATAGAATGATGGTGATATTAAATGCAGTTCTTTCAGACACTGAGTTAACTTTTTATAGTTCAATGAACCCAAGGAATCTAGGACAAGTTTTTTTTTTTAATAGGTACTTAAGGGAAGGTCTTGAATTAGGAGAGTCATCATGGTGGCTTTTAAGAAACTCATTACATTTTCCTCTCAGGATATGGTGGAGATCTATAACTCAATCAAATATCTATGATGAGAGGCAACAATGATAGTATCAAGTATAGGAAACAGAACATTCTGTCCCTTGGAGAGCTCAGAAAAATGGGCATTGTGAAGTGCATTGATTATTTGGAAAAGTACAGGTAGCACCCATCCAGATGTATTTTGTTGTTGCTCTCAACCATACCATGTTTTTATTGGTGATTTTGTAAAAAAAAAAAAAAAAACCCAAACAAGTCTTGTCAGTCTGTAATGAGATATGTGCATGTAGATTGTCCAAGATATATCATACTGCTAGTAAATATTGAATGTCCTTGGTTTCAACAGAATGTGCTACAGAGTGGATCTTTGAGTGGGGTGAGAAGGGTCCAGCAGGACTCATGCTCAGGAACTCAAACTGCTACCATGTCCATCAGAAAACCTCTCTCCCAAGATGCAGCCAGCAATACCGCTTTGGAATATCATTGTGATGTTCCATAGGCTCTCCCATTTCTGCCACTTCATTTCAAACTGTGAGAACAGCCTTCATTTCTGGTGTGTTCTGGTCAGTCTCCTGTCAGTAGACTTTTATGGATATCTGGATGAGTTGGCACCTCCCCTCCAGTTAGCCATTTGCAGTGATTTGCCTCAGAATTTTGTTCCCAGGGTAAACTCTTCATTCGGCTCTCATAGTGTTGAGAAAGTAACTGGAAAACTAACTTTCAGAGTAGTCAGTGCTGACTTGTTATGCAGATGGACTCTGGATTTTTCTAAGACTTGGGGTTATGTCTATTATTTTTCCTCTTCTGTTGTTCTGTGCATGGTTCAGCTCTACACTGGAGCTGTTTATTTAAGTGTCCAGCAGTGTAGATCAATTTGCATGGTCAGTTGATATTATCAAGTTCACATCTTTTCATGAAGAACTAAGAGGCAGTCAAAACCAGCAGAACTATTTTTTCCTTATTGTAATTGCATCTTATGTTGGATATGGACACATTAGCTTAGGACCATCCATCTTCCCTAGGTAGATGGAGCAAGATGATTTGGATAACACGTGCTTTTAGTTTCTAGGCTGTTTTCAGTTCCAGAGGTGGGAGAAAAGGACATGTGTCACTTGGAAATTGTTTTCCATATGTACCAATCTTCACTTTCCTAGTTAGCTGATACTGTAAGACCTGTATTGGAAACTTCAAAGACCCTTAGTTACTACTTACACTTAGGGTAAATAAATTACTTAAACTAAATTGAATATCATTGTAACCATTAAACCTTGTTTATAGAGTAGTTGTTTTTTTAATGTGAATGTGGAGTTTCAACCATAATTCTACTTGCATGTATGCAGGGGTGGGGAGTAGCACTAGTAGCACTATTCCCAACTGTTTCTGTTAATTTTAGTCTTTTAATCCTGTCCTGGTTCAGCATGTCTGTTGCTGATTCAGAGCCTGAAATTTTTGATAGATATATGTTATAAGGCTAATTACTACAGGGTACTATAATTGACTGTAGAAACAGAAGTAATATGTTGTTGTTGTAATGTATTATAGTCAGGTTCACTCTGAACCTTTGACAGAAGTGAGAGAACTTCAGATCCAGGGCTTTGTTCAGTCCCTGTTTCCTTTCCCTTTCCCTTTCCTTTTACCTTTCCTTCCTCTTTCCCCAAATGGTGAATTATGTAAGTATTTATTGTTAAAAGGAAAAAAAAAAAATTGGAAATGATGGGAGATTGAAATCTTCCTTAAAAGAACTGTATGATGGGTCAGCTCAGAAAGGTGTTCTCAGAAGCAAAATTGAATGTGCATTTCAGTAGTTGAGCCACACAGTGTCACCATTGGACTTCACTTTCTTCTACTCTGTATCTTTCCCATTGTAGGTGAAGATATTTACAAAGCCAGAGAAGAGGGGCCTGAAATGTGGGGGGCAACTGAAGTGCAGGAAGATGAAGATACTCTTGTAGAAGTTCCGCTGGATCAGGTATTGGTTGAGCTTTAAATAACTGTTTGGTTTTTTTTTTTAGGATTACAGATTGTGTGTTGTTTTTCTTTCCTCAATTTCTTTTAAGTGTACAGCATAATACTGTGGGGATAACTGTAAGCTCGATGATACAGCTTCTTTTATGTGAGCTTTAGCGAATCTTGTTTTCTCTGTTAATATGTCAAATGTCAGTTACCTTTTCATCAGCTTCAGAACTGCTCTGAGTGCCCTTATAGAGCCTTAGAGAATCAGGACTCCCTACTGTTACAACCTACCAAATAGATTCACCTGAATTGCAGTCTCTTTATACTGGTAGAGCAGTATTCCTCCAGTCCTGAACCACAAACAGGCATGCATTTATCTGGTTTTTGTTAAAGCTGAGAGCACTTTCTTTTGTTGGAGCAATATGGTGCTTAATTGGCCATTTTTTTAATCCTAAGACTTATGTGCAATAAACAGGTTTTGATCACTAAAAATAAAATTATATCCCCTTCATTTTACTTGGATTTGTTTTTAAAAGAAACTCCTGTGGACTGAAATAATACAGCAAATAGGTAAGTTGGAGCTTATTCCAGTGAAGTGGAGAGTAGAACTGCTTAACTTATTTGCTCAAAAACTAACTTTTTTTTTTCTTGCTAATGAATTGCTCACAAGACAGCCATCTTTTTCATCTTATGTGTTTGTAGGAATTTGCCAACTTGCTCAACTTTGTTTCCAGTTGTTGCATTCTGACTTTCTGATGGTCAGCTCAGTACAAAGGAATGGTTGCTAACCTGAGACTGTAAACAAATGGGAGGGAGTTAAAAATAATAGTTTGTAAATACACTTTGATTACCCAGGAAACCTGATGGAGCATAAACAATCCAGGAGACTTCTGGAGTGTGTTGGAGACAGTTTTTTGATGTAGGTAATAAAAGACATGATTAGGAGAGGTATTCTGCTGGACTTGCTACTCATGAGTAAGTAGAAACTGGTTGGGGATGTGATAGTGGCAGCCTTAGTTGCACTGGCCGTGAGATGACAAAGACCCTGAAGAAAGTGAGGATGGAAAATAAATAAAAATTGTAGACTTCAGGAGTGTTGACTTTGCTGTGGTTGGGAAACTGGCAGGTAGAGCCCTGTGTGAGGCTGCCCTGAAGTGCAGAGGAATATGGGAGATCTGGGTGATTTCCAGGGGAATTTTCCTCAAAGCACGAGAACTGTCCCTATTGTGCAAGGAAACAAGCAGGCATAACAGGTGACCAATTTGAGCAGAGGACTTCTGACCTCATACTAAAAGAGAGAGAAGAGGGGATGGATTGCTAAAGAGCATTATAGAGACATTGCCTGGATATGAAGGCCAAAGCTTGTTGATAAATGAAAAGTGATGCATGTGACTGGGAATAATCAACATGGATTTACTATGGACAAATCATACTTTACCAGCCTCATTGCCTCAGCGATGAAATAACTGTCTCTGTGGGTGAAGGGAGCGCAGGTATTGTCATTTATCTTGCCTTCAGTGTAGACTTCCATGTTTCTAGGAGAAAATGGAAGAAGCATGGTACATTTGGTGAGAAAGGTTCCTTAAGGGATGTAGGGGCTGGATTTGTGGGCTACAAGGTGTACAAAAAACTGGCTGGTTTGGTGAGACTTAAAACGTTAGCTGGTTGAGATTTAACTGGCACCTTTCCATGGATGGTGGTCCTCAAGGTTTGTTACTGGATCTGAGACTTCTAACATGTTCATTAGTAACACAGATGATGTCATGGAGGAGACAGATCAAACTGCTCTCTGAAGCTACGGATGGAGTAACAGAGAAAATGGAAAAAACACAGGCTTTTCTCTGTGTTGCACAACAAAGGGATGAGGCAGTGGTCAAAAGTTATGGCAAGGCAAATTCTAATTGGACATGTTTCCAACAGAGAGAACTGTAAGCACTTTCCTGTTCAAGAGAGTGGGGAATCTTTGTCTTGAATATTAAAATCTAAACCAGATAGTTTAGTTTTAGTAATGATTAACAATTTATTTTTGCTTTGAAGCCAGTGCAATGGGCACTGGCCTAGATGATCTCCAGAGCAGTGGTCTTCAAAGTGGAGTGTGCACAGCCCAGAGGGTATGCAAGACACTCCACAGGGGTACTGCGAATGTTAGAAAGAAACGTTAGAACTTCAGCTGTACACAATTTATAAATAAATAAACAAACATATACTGGGGATTCATACTCAAAAAGGTTTTACTGATACGGATATGCTATCTAAACCTTTTGGACACCACTGCCCTTTATCCATATTGGGTAAAAAAATACTAGACACATATACATTTAGCTTTTTTTAAAAAATCATCATCATCATGGCTAGGCTTTGCAAACGAAGATTTGAGAAGGGCTCTACCCACGCTTGCTACAAGCGCGCTGATGGCTAAAAAGGCCAAAGTAAGATAGACAAGTCCAGTTGCAGAAGGCACAGCAGAAAGACTCCCCAGGTGATATCGACGAGACGCGATTCTTTCTGCGTTGTCTTTTCTCCTCGAGAGTGATCCTGCGTGTGTTCTCAAAAGCAGCAGCAGCATTATAGATGGTGTGTCTCCAGGCCTCCCGATTGGAGGCCAGGGTAGACCAATGGTGGTGATCAATATGGCCAAGGCTGAGGGATTGTTTCAGGCAGTCCTTGTATCTCCTCTTTGGGGCTCCTCTCTCACTGCAGCCAGTGGCAAGTTCCCCACAGAGAACGATCTTAGGGAGGCGATGATCCTGCATCCTGGAGACGTGCCCTGCCCAGCACAGCTGTGTTCTCAGCAGCATGGCCTCAATGCTTGGGACTGCTGCCTGCTCAAGGACAGACGTGTTGGTCACATAGTCAGTCCAGTGGATGTTTAGGATTGTACGGAGGCAGCGCTGGTGGAAGCGTTCTAAGAGACGCAAGTGGTGCTGGTAAATGACCCACGATTCAGATCCATATAAAAGAGTGGACAGTACAATGGCTCTGTAAATGCTGATCTTTGTACTTTTCTTCAGGTATTTGTTTCACCAAACTCTTTTATGGAGTTTACCTAAAGCTCTGTACGCCTTTGCTAACCTGTTGTCTATTCCTGCATCAATCTTACCGTCCGAGGAGATGATGCTTCCCAGGTAATTGAATTGCTGGACTGATTTGAGCTCTGATTTGCCAATGGTGATATGGGGATGATGGAAGACTTCCTGAGGTGCAGGCTGATAGATTTTAAAAAAATACCTGAGGGGGAAATAGACATTTTATGACCTTTCTAGCCATTTTGAAGAATGACAGCATACCATCTAAAAAACCTAATGGATCCCTCCATTTTATTTTAGCTTCCTGTTTCTAAAATGGATCTTTCTCATGATTTATTCATTTTAATGGGAAGAAGTTTTGCTCAGCTATTTTATAGACATCGTTCTTGAAGACACATGAATCAGGTGATAGAAAGAGGCAACAAGAGCATGACTGTCCTGGTCCCTGATATAAGAAGTGCTACAGTGGTGTCTTTTCTCAGCAAATACCAGCCAAATAACCATACTTATATGCTAAACACCATTGGGTTTATCAGCGCTGTAAATTGAAGTTGTCCTTGTGAAGTGCTGTGATAATTAGGATGTATAGTGTTGTGCTGATAGTACTGACATTGGGGAAGAACATGCCGCCTCTTGTCTTAACCTTTGTTTCTTCTGACATCCTGAAGCATATCCTGCCCTGGATATGTAATAAAATTGGCAGTGTAATAATCAAATTGAGAAGTGATTAGCCTGTTTATTCGCCTCTGAAGGTGCGTGAAGAATTCCTCTGGGTAGTCTAAAACATTTGACAGTGTAAATTGGGTTGTCAGGCCTTAGTTTTTAGGTTGACTGCAATTCGTATGAAATCCAGCCCTGGAGACAGCTGCCTTACTTCTCCACAGAGATCCTACAGTGCAGGCAATAGCTCTGCCCATTCTGCCATGTGTCTCACCAGTTTGCCTCGGCCAGGGCATGCTGACCATCCCTAGGGAGGGGGGAATAGTTAACTCTCCACTACCACTTCTGTGTTTGGCAGAGGAACTGTTGACACAGTTGCCAGTAACCATCAGATGTGCTGGGAAGCTTGCAGTACTCAGACCTTCCTCGATACATCTAAGCTCTTGTACCAAGGTCCTTTCATCATCCTAAGATGGAAATATTTTTCAACTGCTTCCAACAGATTTTGCTACCTGGACAAGGAACTGGAAGTGGGTATGTTTAAAGGGGAAAAAACCCCCGAATTAAAAAATCAGTAACGGACAATGAATAATCTGATTTTCATATTTTCATACAAGCCAAACAAAGAACCAAAATTTATTCCAACTCAAGCCATAGTTTATTTATAATGGTAAAACTTCATGTATAGTTTCCTAGGTAATCTGGCAGGAAGCTGTGTCCTGAGCAGCACGGAGTACTTTTGATTCCCGGATAACTGAGGTCGCTCAAACCTTGGAAGCATTTAGCATTGTACATGTTCAGGTTCTTATTAATGAGCATTTTAAATTGTTTTAAATTCTGTGTTGTAAAGCTTTACTGCTTTTTCTTATCTGCACTACAGTTTCTGTTATTGCTAGAAATATGGAAAAGGGCAGCCAGTCGGGGCTTGTGTAATACATAAATATTTACATGCCAGCTTTCACTAGAATGCTGACACTTCTGATAGGCTATCATTTCCATCAGCCACATAATTGAGGTGGTGAAGACAGAGCTTTGTCTTTTTTTCTTTTTATGCACCTTCTCTGTCTTGCTGTTTGAAGTACACAGTTGAACAAATGCCAGATTAGCCATTAACTAAGCTTAGTGTAATACTGGCTAGACACTTGCTTATGTCCTGCTCTATAAAATGCTGTCTGCCAGCTGAAAACACATTAAAAGGACAGGGTTTGCTTTACTCTAGACTAGCTGACAGTTGTAATTGAACATCAAGGAGGAAAAAAAATCACTATTTTGCCTTAAACCAAACCAGGCCCTTCTGTTCTATATTCTGTACCGACACTTCAGCTTCCAA